CTCGGCAACTACTTCAAAACTCTCGCGATTATACATATATTAAATAATCTCTTACCATTTTTTATTTCTCTCACTACAAGCAATTTCTCTCCAATTAATGGCGGCTCTTATCTCAGTCTCTTTTATTTCTTGTTCTTGTTCTTCTTCCATGCTATACTCCCTGCTCTTCGACGGGCATCGCCGGGCAGAACACGTCGTCGCTGAGCGGCTTAACCTACATCTGCTATACAGTCGCGGCCCTAACGCAGCTCTTCCTCTACAGCTACGGCGGCAATCACGTCAGCGAGAGTGTTAGTAAGACTTTTGTCCACTTCTACTACTCCTCACATTCTCCACTCCCATTCCCATTCCCATGCCCATGCCCATTCCTAGTCGCATTCCCATTTCCATTACCACTCCAGCACAGCCATTTCCATCATTCATTCAGCTACAGCTTCTATACACTCGCAAAAGGGTTATCGTTGGTTCGGTTGCCAGTTTGCATTCCAGGAGCGCCTCAAGAGATGAGCTCTTTAGTCCATTGTCCGCGAGTACATTTGTATAGCTCTTCAGGTCTAGTCTATCGTTAGTCTGATGCGAGTCTTTTCTGGCGAGTGTACTGGATATATTCTTTGGTCTATATACAATGTTTGTTAGACTATCTTTGCGAAGTGTTTGGAGTGTCTGTCTGTGCATTTATGGAAGGCTTTGTGGCCTCTGTATAGCTCTGTGCTGTATGGAAAGGTGTTACAAGACCTTTTCGAGCTTTTCTCCATGGACTGTCCTTGGATTTTCTATAAACTCCATGGAAGTCTGTTGAATCCTTCTGTCTGTAGATATGACTGTGTATTTCTCTAGCTATACATGGGTTGTGCTCTAACTATATATAAAAATGTTCATAGATCTGGTAAGCATGTGAAACATGGCTGCCCAGCTGTAATCTCTCCGTGCCACTCTCCTCCGCTCATTTCCGTAAATCAGTCATAAATCTATCCTACGCTTAAGCGACTCTTCCGGGATACAATCTCATCTACCATCTGTTAATAAGTACGCAGCTCTTACCGCAAGCTTCTTTTTCATTCCAATAAGAGTATCTGCGCATTCGTCTCTCAATCATTTCCAGTGGTGGCTGTTTATTTTTTTTTTCGGTTCTGGTTTTTTTCAATTTCTGTAATTTCAATTTGACGCCCAACATTAAGCAGCCAGGCACCCGACATAAAAAATGATGTGCCATACACAAATTGCACTTGTGATAAAATTTTAATTACACAACAAAGTGGGGAACCCACCGCCCCACCGCCCCACCGAGCACTTGGAGGGGAAGAGCACCCATCATGAGGCAGGCGCACGCACCCCTCCGCGTGGCATCATCATCATCCTGCCACATCAGTTTCAGTTCCAGTTCCCTGATCCAGTTTCAGTTGGAGGTTTCTTTTTTCAACCGTACTCTTCTGCTCCTCTTTTTTTTTCTTTTGCAGAGCGCTGCTGTGGCGGACGTGCTGTACGACATTGAGTGGTACAAATGCGATGCGAGGACTAGAAAAATGATTTTAATGATATTGCGGCGTTCGCAGCGGGCAAAAACAATTGCGGTTCCGTTTTTTACGCCCTCCCTCACGGCCTTCGGTTCGGTATGGTTCGGCATGGATGTGTCTCTCTTGCCCGTTGATTATGATAATAAATGTTTATATTTCTCTTGTTTTAACCGCCTTTTTCCCCATCTACCATATACCATCTACCTCCCCCACAGATACTCAGCACAACCGGCTCATATATCACACTGTTGAAGACATTTCTGTAAGCCTATGCGGCGTATGATTGATATCCAGAATTGGATTTGCCACGCCAACGGATGACGAGGGGCTGCATGGATGCTGGGATGCTCGGATGCTCGGATGCTGGTTTGCAGCCCAACAAATTTGTCCTTCTCTGTTTGTTTAAATTAAAATAAAAACCTCCATCCGAACGGACATTAAATGGCCTTGTCTTGTGGTGGGGGATCCTTGGGGGTTGGTCCTTTTGGTTCTTGTGAAGCGCAACAAGTGGCGGCTGTCCGGAGCCCGTAATTGTTTCATTTAAATACCGGCGATGATCTCTTCGTGCGGATTCAAACTAATGAAAAACACTTGCGGCTATGGGCACATTAATTGGGTCAGTTGGGTGGGGTGGGGTGGGGTGGGTTTTGGTGTTTCGATGGTGCCAGTGACGATGACGGTCCCTGCAGAATGAGAATGAGTGTGGGGTAGTAGCTCCTCTCTCTCACTCTCTGTGTGTGTGGTACAGACATTAATGGCGTTTTTATGGGCGCCATCTTGCGGCACGCTGAACCGAACTTTTGCCGAGCTGTCTTGTTGTAATAATATTTTTCTTTTGCCGTTTCTGTTTGATGCCGCTGCAAATATCAATTATAATTTCAGAAATTTGAGCCTCCAAACGATGGTAGAAGCTGGCGCAAATGATTGGACCGGCATTTACGTTGAATTAGTGCAGAATTTTCTTCAAGTTTCACATTAAAGCGAACGCGCTGAAAGCTGGGATATAAGCTGTTGATATAATTATTGTTGAGAGCTTATTTTTATTAGATAGAGGATGGAGAAAGATCTAAACCAATTCCTGAAGTATTCGTTGCATTGGGAATTATTTATTTGCAGCAGCTTAAATCCGACACTGCATTACTCAACTGATTTTAAGAATGATGTTACTCTTTTGATCTCTATTTGTCTTGCTTACTGTCTGAAAAAAATCATGAATAAAATCTGGCTTTGAGGTGGAAGCTGCTGATACCCTGATGCTGATGCATGGCGTCTCATTTTGCCCCTCATTGTTCATAGGGGAGCTGTTATATAGTTCGACTTATGTATATATAGTATATATAGATCCTGTGTAATGTCTCATACAAATAGCTGACAAACTGAGCGACTATTTATATATAGAAACAGACTTACAATTTCTATATGGGGTAGCAAATTCTTCCTTCCATTGCTACGCACCAAACTGTTGGTCAAAAGAGCACTACCCTTCAATAGTGCTACAAACGAGGGACACAGAGAGAGAGACAGAGAGAGAGAGAGAGAGGGAGAGCTTTGATAGCACTGATTAGATCAATCTTTCTATGTGCAGCTTGCATGGAGCAATGCATTAAAAAGCAGAAAAAGAACCAGAGAGGCAGCGCGGAGGCGGCTGTAGACTGAATTGAAAACGCCATCGCCATCCATGCCCCCCCCCCCCAACTAGAATTCTGATTGGAAGCAAATATGCTTTTGCGGGTTTCGCTTTGATGATTATTTTTACAGTTTTATTGCGGGCACACTGGCACATAAATGTACAAGGACTGGGGACCAGCTCAAAGCTGAAACATATTTGACAGCATTTTTCCCAGTAATTGAGTTTGGAATTCACTTAATTGGAACATTTTGCAAAATACTTACCAGCGAAAAAGCAGAAAGTTTGATGCCCAAAATAAAATAATGTTTTGGGGGGTTCATCTATGTTTATGTTTAGTTTCATTTCATTTTATTGTTTTTGAAAGAATTCATTCCATTGAATTGTTTATTTATTTATCATTTGGTTTCGTCATCACATAAATTATCTAAAATCTGCTTACTGGCTTACGTGTAGTAAATTCATGCCTACCATTGGATAGTACCCATGCGAGTACTCGTAATATATGTATTTGCTACACACACACAATCGACAATCGACAATCCACAATCCATGTGCAACATCAAATTTAGTCAAGCTTGCCGCAATTGATTTCGCTTTTCATTAACGAATTCCGCTTGGGGTCGCATTTCGCATTTCCATTTCGATTGCCATTCTACATTTCCCAATTTTACATTTGAATATGGGACTCGCCGCCTGACTAAATTTCATTTTGCCCATAAATATATTCCATGCAATTTAGTTTTATAATTAAGTTTTACTTTCGTTCTTCGTTCTGTTTGTTTTGTTTTGTTTTGTGTTTTATTTTATTTTGTTATTTGATGACAGTTTTTCTTTCTTTCTTTCTCTGTGTGGTTTTTTTTTTATTCTTTTTTAGTTATTTGCTGAGAGTTTTTTTTTTGTCGTTTTATATATATATTACAATTTTCGGGTAGTAGTAGTGTGGGGTATGGCTGCATACTTGTGCCACAGACTGTGTGTTTGGGTTTTTTTCTCCTTTTCTTTTCTGTATATTCTTTTTTTCTTTTGGGTTAGCTTTGCTCTCTCTGTTAAGACAGCATGAAATGTTTATCAAGTCGATGCGATGCGTGTTACGTTCCTTTGTCTTCCCGATGAGAATGGCAAGAGAGATAAAGAGAGAGGGATAGGGAGCTGGGGGCAGAGTAACGACAATACTATACGTACAGTGGCGAATGAAAGTCTGCGTTTGACAAGCATTTGTGGCTATCTAAGGGAGAGAGTTATAACTGAAGTTGAGGAAACTTAATGATAAAACTTAACGAAAAAGGAAAATAAAAATTTGTTTATTTATATATTTAATAAAGCAACAGAACTAAAATATTATAAAAATAGGTAGTCCCTAATAGATATTTTAATGTCCGTTCTTAATAATATTACTAAGCGATTACTTTTCATTTGGCATCTGAAATGAATCTACGCTCGTACATAGACTTTTACACGGCACTATACCTACATATACGTAAGCCACATATATATGTATGTATTTCTCTTCTATCAGAGCTGCTGTGCTGCATCTTTGTGGTATTTACAGAGAGTGTCAGCCTTCTGTCCTTCTGTGGTTGCGCGTCTGCTGGTCTTTTGCATTTCCCATTGCATTTTCCGGGGCTCAGTGTCTCATTTTGCACAATGAAATGTAAATATTAAAAAGGAAACACATTATGCCTGAAAGGGAAAGCGGGGCCATGCCACCATGCGCGTGTTTGCCTTTCCTTTTAGCCAGCATTTCTAAAAAAACATCTCTCGAAGAGCGAACTGCGACAAAAAAAAAACACACACACATATAATTTTTGCTCGTGTCTTTCCATTTGTTACAACACTCTCTCCATCCCTGTCGCTCTCTCTCTCTCTATATATCTCTCTTTGTCCCGTTTCCTGCTGGCAATAACAAAGTTAACGTTGATGATGATAATGAGACTAAAGACAACGTTGATGATGAGGATCATGGTGCTGCTGGGGTACAACTTTCGCTTTCAACGACTGAGAGCTAATACCAAGAGGAACATCCAACAAAGCTCCAGGCGAAGGCCCAGTCCGGGCAGCGCAAATGCCTCGCTCTTCTGCATCGCTGCGGGATTCTCATCTGCAAGAGGGTGAGAGAGAGAGAGAAGGGGAGAACGTTAGGGATTGGACAAACAGTGGAATATAATTACGTAACATATGTATGCAAATCTGTGGCAACGCCCGCCCCATTAACTATGCCATGGTAAATAACTTAATTTAATTGTAGGGGACTCTGAAACTGACTTATGAGTGGGTGGCAGGCTGGCCGGTTGGCTGGCTGGCTGGCTGTGTGACAAGGGTGTGGTGTGCGGGTCCCAAGTCCCCCGTCCACGCAGACTAGATAAATGACATATGTGTTTCAGCGTGTACGCTATATATCTGCGGCCTCCTGCCCGCCTGCAGTCGCGGCTCCTTAGGAGCAAATGTTATTCCAGGCGCATCATTTGTCAATGCTTTCTTTTGACTCATCACAAAGGGATACCCATCTCGGTTCGCACAGCCACTGATTTTTAAAGCCCATGTCAGATGAGTAATGGCTGGAATATGCCATAGAAGGAAGGGTATACTGGGGTACCACATAAGTTCTTTGAATTTAGAGTCAAGCGGGAAAGCAAGGGCAGGGACAGAGCTTCCGACTCTGGTTAGCCAAGATATAGACTAAGGGAAAATAACTACAGTAGTCGGGTATATATCTGTCTTCGTGGATGTCAAACAGTTGCTTGAAATATAGCACCTTTGCTTCCTGTACGACTGCCAATTGATTCTCAATCAAAAACAGACACTCCCACCGATATATAACGACTTGTAATAATTCAATTCAGTCATAGAGTATAACCCAGTCGCTCTAGCTTTAGCTATAGATAGCACTCGGTGCTTATCATTTTTCTTAAAATTTTATTGCCTTTGATTTATTATCTGTATTTATGGAAGTCCCAGTACCAGTCCCAGTCTCAGTCCCAGCAGCAGGCACAGTACCACTTTCAGTCGCAGTACCAGTACCAGTCAGAGTCACAGACTCCTCCATTTACGGGCGGGTGCTGTCTGCTATCCACACCCTTCACCACGCGCTGGTCGACTCTTGGGGCACACATGTGGGGCATGATTAAGTGCCTTTTTGCAAGTTACTTCTGACATTTAATCATATTTATTATGGCTTTCCACTAGAGCAGGACGACGATACAGAAGAGGAGCCCGCCCAAAGACAGTTGCTCTTTAAAATGCAAATTCCTGTACGTACAACAAATTCATTTGAATAAACAACTTAACAACTTAAGTGCTGGCCATTTCGCTTAACATTTGATATCGCATAAAAAATAAAGAAGAAAAAAACTAGCACTTCGGACACGGAGTCACGGACAGGACACGGACACGGACACGGAGTCATGGACGTGGTGGTGGAGTCGTAGGACTTCAATTTGCTGCGAATGTCCTGCCATAAAGGAGCATAAAAAGCAGCACTCGAAATTGGAGGACAAAAGAGGCGTCAAGTTTATGCCCCTCATTTCGCAGCTTAAAATGTCTTAATTCCTGTCTAATTTATGTGTAAAATATGCAAAGCCAAAATGGCGACTACGCCAAAGTCTCCGCCGACTGTTCGCTCCTCGTCCACATTACTCATACGCCAAGGGGTCCCGCGTCCCTCGTCCCGCGAGCGTGTCCCAAAACAAACAAAAAAGCAGCCCAAAAGAAAACCCAACGTTGCCGGCGCGGGAGGTGGGAGGTGGGGAAAGTGTGGCGAAACTTTTAGTTTTTAGGCCTCTATTCGTATGTCTCTATTCGTAGCCCCGAAAGGGCGTGTCTGGGAATGAATAGAAAAGAGAGACAGAGAGAGAGACAGAGACAGAGAGCGAGGGCGCTGTGCACAGTGTGTGCAATAAAGTTGCCTGCAAGCACTCGAATAAATACTAAAATATGCAAAGCGTAAACTGGAATCATTCAAAAGTAGAAGTAAAAGGAATGGTAAGTACTATTATTCAATTTGCTTTCTCGTATTACAATTAAATGATAGAATTTAATTTTAGGTGCCTTTACAAAGGCACTAAGGGACTCTGACTTTGTGTCTCTGGCCAAGAACAGCTGGCGGAGACCATGTAATATTTCTTTACATTTCAAACAAAAGTCCAAGCTACATCTTGCAAGTCTTTAGAGCAGTCAGGTCAGTGCTCACTGGACCATGGCTAAGCTTTAAGAGTCGTCTCCTTTTAGGCAAGAACTCCTCTCTCTCTGCCTCTCTCTCTCTGTCTCTCTTCACATATGTATGTATGCGGTACACTAACAACGTGCTGGCACTGTAAATAATAGGCTTATGCCTCGCCTGGCACCACCTGAGCCGGAAGAGAGTAGCGACCCAGGGGCCCAGGCACGGACCTGGGCCTGAGCCTGAGTCCTGAGCCGGGACGCACTCACTCACTCACTTACTGAATGACTCCCAGGGACTCACCATTAATCACATGGACCAGGACACTGGCGCTGCTGGCCGTTGTGGGCTGACACGTGTAGTTGCCGGTGTCCGTCGTCTGGGCATTGGCGATGCGCAGCCTGTCGGGATTAAGAAGGAGACACTGAGTACAACTCAATTATGCTGCACCCCACCCCCCATATACCCCAAAACCCAAAACCCACCTGGACTTGAGGGTGTCGCCCAGCTGTGACTCCATGGCGATGCGTGTGGCAAACTCCCGCTGCAGGTCCACCTCGCTGAGCACATCGTTCGGTGAGGAGTCCCTCTCTGAGGGATTCCGTCGCTGTTGTTGTTGTTCCTCTCTGGAGTTGGAGTTGGATGACGGGGCGGATGCCTCGCCATCGTCCGCATCAAAGGGAGTGATCATGTGCTCGCCGCGATACCAGTATATCGGTCCGATGTCCTTCACGGAGGGCTGCTGCACCACACAATTAAGGATTATGGCGCTGCCCGCCTTAAAGTGCAGATCCGGTGGCCCACTGATAACGGCCTTGGCGTCAGGTGAGATTTCTGCAACGAACCAAAACCGAAAACAAGAAGCAATCATCAGTGTGGGTGGTGTAGGGGGCGGGAGCGGTGGAGGGGAGGTGTGAAAAAAGCGAAATCAATTTGGGGCAATCGCTTGTAAAACGAATTCCCAGCCAACTCTGAATGCACATAAAAACTTTTAATCATAAAACTTTATGGAATAACTTTTCAATTGCACTAAATTTAAGTAAATTCGTGGAAAAAAAGAAGGAAGAAGAGGGCGCGGCAGATAAAAGTGAGAAAATCACACCAGACACACACACACAGCTGCATGTAACCATAACAAACACACACTCACACATATAGTGTATGTACATGTGTATGCAAATATATGTTTGTACGCGTACACTCCATATGGCAACTCTCTCACACTCGCCCGGCTGAAAAACTGGGTTAATAATAATATTTATTATGCATTGGACTGTGCAAATAATAATAATTAAAAAATATACCCAAAAAGCGGAGACACGACGAGGTAAACTGAAATAAAAGTTCATGTGGTGCACTGTGGAACTCTAAAGGAAGGCTTAAGCAGCTGGATATCAGTCTAAGGCGAATTGTGGGGCTTGTAGCAAGCATCAATAACCCCAAATAAATATTCAAGGCAACAGCGAAAAGAAATTCAATTAACCTATGGGATATTTACAGCAGCATATTCATGTTCACCGTCACAATATTCCATCTCCAGAGCAGAGGTCCCTCCAGCAAGCAGAAATATTAGCAGACTCTCCATTCACCGCTTCACAGACAATGAGACAATTTTCAAACATTTTAGGGAGCTTTGCAGCTTAACAGCATTTGCTGTCCAGTGGGAAATACGCTTCATAGCGAACATCTCCATAAGAGACAATCCGCTACGCGAGCGGATGCTGCTAGCTATTAGGGAACCCAAAAGACTCACACAAAATTTAATTGCTATTATTTTTCGCTGTTTTTGCAGCAGTCTCTTGTAGCCCCATTAGGGTTCAATCATTTACCAAATGTAGCTTAGCGGGGTTAAGCCTTTAAGCTCTCCCACTCTGATTGCAGGGCATTCCGTTACGATTAGCAAATTTTTGGCAGCCAACATGGAGTCTCTGACCCACTGTGCCCCGCGCTCTGGCTGTTTGGCCAGATGTGCGACGCAGCTCATAAAAGTGCATATGATGATGATTACATGGGTCGCAGGACGGACGCCTCTGCCAAGGGTGGGGGGCTTGCATGGGGCTTCGGCAGGAGATCTTGCCGAGTGGCGGTTTCTGTCTTTCCCCTCACCTATAGCTGTCCCGCTTGCGCCTGCTGCCACTCCCCAAAAATCGCGCTCGGGTGTGCTTTTTTTCGTCTGTTTGTTTGTATCTCTGGCATATGTTGAGTTTGTGTGAGCGAGTCCATGTGTGGGCATGGGCATGGGCATGTTTGTGTGTGTGTGTGTGTTAAAAAATCCCACTGCGCCATTAAGTGCGTATGTATGTGTGTCTCCGCCTGCCCCTACAGCCCTAAAGCCCATCCCCTCGCCGTCTCTTCCTCTTTTGCGAGTGCGTTTGTGCAGTGTCACTGCGTTAAAGGCAATTAACACCCAGAAGCGGCAGAGGGGTAAAACTGGATAGAGGGACAGCAAAGAGTGAGAGCGGAGAGAGAGAGAGAGGAAGGAAAAGCAGCGAGACACAGGCATTTTTCCTCACTATTTTCATTTCATTTCAGATTTTTCATTTTTCAGCCAGCTGTCGCTAAAGTTCTGCGTGCATTTTGTGTGGCCGCCCATGAAGTTTTTTAATTTAAATATTTCATGAAAATAAAATGCAATGCGGCGTACAAAACAGCAACAATTGGATGCAATTACAGCTAAAAAAAAAAAGTGAAACAATACCAAAATATACCAAAATTAAATGCAGCAACAAATCCTAATGAGGCTGAATAAATGTTCAGCACAAGTGCGGAAAAGTATGCTATGAAAAAGTGCTAAAGATTCTCAAGGAAATGCATTGGAAAATGCATAAATTATTATCATAAAAACATTCCTTAGATGCATTTTTTCCCTCTAAATTTATTCATATGAAAATAAAATACAACTAGCAAAAAATGCATTGAAAAAATATTTAATTGTGTCATTTTTTACAGATTGAAAATATTTGAGGCTATCGCGAAAAAACACATAAGCATTCCAATAACGATTGCAGGAAAAAACCACATAAATATAAAACAACATCTCCCGCTGTGATTTCATTGTTTTCCTTCTCCATAGAATTCTGTAATATTCAGTGGAAATTTCATAGAAATTATTGATAATTACGCAAAGCTTAAAGATTCTTGGCAAATTTAAGGGTATACAATTGTGGGACTCTTGAAAATGAAACCATCATTAGATCACCTTCCAGCTCGGATTTCTAATGCTTTCATCCTTTGCTTTCAGCCTCCTCTGCTGTCTATCCCTTTCCGAGAAAGGTTAAAAATACATTTATTTTTCTCTTGCCTTGCCCTGGCGTCTAAAGGAGCAGCTCGAAAAAGGCTTGGGTATTGCCAAGGGGTTTCATGTACATACTACATACAGTATGTACAGATGTGTACCCTCATTAATGTGAATTGTGATTCTTTCATTGTGATTTCATTGTTATTGTTTAATTTTCCCCGCCAGACTTAACCATTAATTACGCAGCTAATTGCAATGAGATAATATTTTTTCAAGTGTAATGAATGCCATAAATATGAACTACTTACAAAAATATGCGTAATGTTAAAATGTTTAAAAACTGATGAACTGTCATTGAAAAAATATTGCAGAAAAATCCCCGTTAATTTCCACAAATAATTAAACAATTAATAATCATGTAATTGGAGGTTAATAATATTTGCAAATACAACAATTAACAAATACATTAATATATGTAAGTATGTATGTATGCAAATCCATTTAAACGGGTGAAAATATTGCACGCAAGATTACGGCAAATGAATTGGAAAACTGATTAAAAAAATGTTCATAAAAATCCCCGCGCATTACGCACGCATTGTTGTACACCAGACTTTTCCAGCATAATTTCCCACAAGATTTAACAATCAATTACGCCACTAATTGCGATGAAATATTTTTCAAGAATTATGCCTCCATATTTATACGACCTTTTAAATTATCATCTTAGGGCATACTTTCCATGCATATTTATTTGGATTTATTCTGGAGCCACCCCCCCGTCCAACCTTAATTTATAACAGAAATAAATCTCTTTTCCTTCTTCGAAAAACAAAAAAAAAAACAAAAAGAAAAAAAACAGCAAAAGGCGAGGGAAAAATAAAATCGTTTGGGGTTGGTCGCATAAATTTGCATAATGACATTAATTAAATGCAATACGAGGCAACAGAAAAGGGGCAGCTGTAGAAACCGGAGAGCCGCGTCCGGTGCTGGAACCGGAGCCAGGAGAACGGTGAACGGAGAACGGAGCCCGGAGGCAGAGTGAACAGTTAAGCGCCTTGCGAAAGTCACTCATACGACACGTATGCCGATAATGTTATTAAGGACGCAGCCAGTTTGCCATGCCTGTCAGCAGCACTGTTGTCCAGTCGAGTAGACGCCTGCTCTGTGCTGTCGTGTCCACTCCACTTCCCTCCACTCCACACCACTCCACTCCACTCCACTCGACTCGACTCCTATCCTATCCATACCAGAGTCCACTCCATTCGTAGGCTGCGACTTCTTTTGAAATTGTTTCATTAACGTAAATTAAAATGCATACGGCCGTGAAGAAAATGTAATCGGAAATGCGTTTGTAAGCGTCAGAGCGGCCAGTGGAAGGGCAACATGACGGAGGATGAATACGAGAATTGGGCACAGGCACGGACACAGCTACGGACACGGACTGCGACAAAAAAAAATGCATCGCGCCCAAGTGCATAATCGGAAACTTAAAAAGGCATTGCAAACTGATTTGCATAAGTGGCTGACAGCAGATGCCAACAGTGCCTGTCAACAGCTCTCAGTCGTTCGGTTTCTTGCTTCTTCAATCGCTCAGTCCCCTCAGTCCGCACTCAGTTCCCACTCAGTCCCTCAATCTCTGAGTCCCTTTCCCCACTTGACAGCACTTGGCCCCTTATCGAGCCTGTTGTTTAAAGCACCCAACAAAATTGCCACTCTCAATGGAAAAGCCTTAAATTTTGCACAAAGTTCTTTAAAAATCCATTAAATCGAATATTCAAATTGATTGTTTTTTAAACGGTTTACATTGAGGAATTAACTGAAAGGCAAATGAGGCTGTGCTGTGCTGTGCTGTCGATGGATTGAAGGAATTTCATTAAAGGTGATTGAGAGATTCCGTAGGAGGAGTGAGTGAAATTAATGAAGAGTAAGCCATGCAGGAATCAAGATTCAAATGAGATACGTGTTTGTTCTTTAGCAGAAGGAGGCTCTAACGAAGGCTCAGAGGAGTGCAATTACCATAAGTAAGAAAACTTTGTCGTGCGGAAAATTATTCTATGTCTTGTGTGCCGTAAGAAATCTCTTTATTAAGCAGATAATGATTGTTGTCTTTCGTATAAATCTACACACGAGTACGAGTATATGCCGTTTTTCCATCTCAAAGAATGAGAGGAAAAATAGTGACGATTTTTGTGTGTATTCCTTTTCGAATTAGCAACCAAAAGAGTCCTTCAATTATAAAGCCCATTTTTTAGCCAAGGAAAACCCTCAATCAGCGAAGGTTTAGCCAAATGAAAACCGAGGATAATGAAAAAGGGAAGCACAGCTAAAAGCCGATGCAAATGAAGAGCAAAAAGTCTCAACTGAACTGAACTCAACTCAAATGTGGCTTCCGTAAGAAAAATTATGGCATCCCCCAAGTAAGTTTCCCCAGGGGACAGAGAACAGAGAGAGCTGTAAATTTCTGTTCTCATAGCGCTTCTAGAGTTTCCCTCCCAAATGCAATTTTCTATTTTAACAGAGCCACATCACTAGGTGGCACCTGCCAGGCTGCCGGGCTGCCAGCCTGCCATGGGATTCAGTATTCCATTTTGTAATCAGGCCCCATCATCAATTAATCATTACCGATGGACAAGACATTGTTTTGGATACAGGACACAGAGCACAGGCCGGAGTAGGGACGTCACACTGAGAGCTAATTATATGCGGACACAGGCATTATTCATGGCTCATTAAAGCGTTGAATACATCGGATCCAATCGGACCCCGGCTCGTAATCCCGCCGGGTTGACATGCTAATTAACTCAGCGGCTCTGGATCCGGCTCCAAAACAGCAAGCGACATGTAAGCTCCGCTCCATCTGTTGGCACGAAGAGAGAGACAGAGAGAGTGAGAGAGAGAGACCCTGGAAACCGGAGGCGCACCCGCCTGCAGCTGTGAAGCTCGCTCCTTTGCTGATTTCTTTTTTTTTTTTGTATTTATTTATTTATTTATGGGCCGAAATGCGAAATTAAAAATGTATGCCTAGAGGCGTAGCGGGGCCGTACCGCACCGCACCGCTCCGCACCGAAAACTGAAACCCCAGTCGGGTATTGGGATAGGATAGGGATAGGGGATGTTGCACGTTGGGGCACGATGGAAATAATCATAATTGCTATTGCTGCTGGCGGGTCTGAAACTGTATTAACATTTTTAATAAGCAGCAGCTCCCAGGCTCGGCAGGTAAACATCACTCGGAGCATCAGAAACAACAACAGAAATAAATAAGACCGAAATAAATGCGATTATCAAAATAATAATGAAATTAATTTAAACTGAAAATGCAGAGAGAAGTTCCACTGTCCGCAATCCACTGCCATTCGATCGGCTGATTGAAATGTGTCAGCAGCTATCAGTCAGCTATCAGTGGCAGCTAATCGGAATTTTTCTAACACAAATTCGCACGCATATGTACGATGTATGTACGATGTATGTGTATGTGTATCATCTATCACAATTGGTCTACTCACCGATGATATTCAGCTGGAATGCCATGGACATTTTGGGCTCCGTGTTGACCTGGCACTCGTAGATGCCGCTGTCCCGTGCCTGCGGCGACTTCACATGCAGCGTCCATTCCCTGGCATCCTTCGATTCGGTTACCTGACAAGGACACACACACACACAAACAAAAAATGTACAGAGATACAATTTCAGTGTTTTTGCAGTTTTTAATAGTACGTGGTAAGTGGTGTGTGCATGGGGTATGTTCTGTGTGTGTATGTGTTTGTGGATTTAAATATGTGACTTTCACATTTAAAGTGTTCCCTAAACCATAAACTAAATGAAGTTGGCAATTTATACGTATCATATCTTGCAGGGACCATCTAAGCACTTACATTTTATGAATTGTTTTTAAAATAGAAAAAATAGGGGAACCACATTTGCTACTCAGATATCTGTTAGATCTACAAGAGATTTGTTTTTTTGACTTTACAAATGATGGGGAAATTCCTAGGTTTATTATTTATCCGCAGTATATGAATCACATATGAATCTTTCGAGCTAGATATTCGCATTATTAGAGCCAGGGAGGCCACAGATTGTGTAGTTTATTTTATTATTTATTATTATTATTATTTATTATTAATATTATTATTGTTATTATTTATTATTTAAATTGAAAGAAAGCTGTGGCATTTAATAAAAACGAGCCTTAAATTTTCAGAATCCACAGCCAAAATGATGGTAAAAAGTAGCACATATCGGAAACCCAATCAAATTCTCTATAAAGGTTATGCACACTCTGTCTCCTTTGCTCATTGTTTAAGTTTAATTGGCATAGTTGGCATCTGTTTGGCTCCAATTTGCATTCAATAAATCTGTAGTAGAGGGTAACCTTACAGCAGTAACATGGAAATATACGAGCTGCCATGCCATCCATAAATGTTCTTTTTTTTCAGTTGTTCGATTTCAGTTTTCAATTTTGCATTCATTCTGTCATGTCTCGCTGGAATAATTATTCGCTTTTAAGGCAACAATTTGCAATGCAGCAAATTGTTTTTTTTTTTTTTTGTATTCGATTTTTATTTTTTATTTTTTCATGGAAATTAAGCAATTATGCAATTGTTTGTTTGTTTGTTTGTTGGTTGCTTGCTTGCTAGCTTGCTGTTGTTGTTGCCACTTGTTTGTTTGGTTGTGCAACTGCTGCACAGCGGTTGGATATGTATTGACTGGTGGGGGGAGTGGTGCACGGGTGCAGATTTGTCCTGAGTTATGACTCGGATTAGCCGTTGAAATATCGTTTATGCATGCATAATGAAAGTGGCTTTATGTCCATAATAACCCCCGAGAGCCGGAGTTAACTTTTACATGCCGCTGTGGCTGTGGCTGTGACTGTGGCTGTGGCTGTTGTTGGGCTTCCACATTCCACATTGAAAGTTTATCGGGATTTGCCGTGTTTCAGGTATCTAATCTAGAAGTTGATCTGGGTGCTGGAATGGGGAGGGGGGCTCTGTGTGTATGGATTTGCGTTGGGTGTGTGGGGTGAGGCTGGTGGGGTGGTTTCACTGTACTAATAGATTGTTGGGTTTTCTAGGGATTTCACGTAAAGCATACTTGAGGTGGATTTCCGTTGGATTCAAATGCAAAATGGGCTGGGCAAAATAAAAGAGCTTTACACTAATCAAATTTTTCATTTTAAGATGAGGAGGAATTTCCTCTCTTGAATTTATTTTGAAGGTGACTTGATAAAGAAATGTATTTCTTATTATAGTCCTCAATGACGTCGCACACTGCCTGAAATACAACGACAAGGGTAAGGCTGCTGTCTGTCTTCTAACTAATTCTCGCACTTAATCAATGAACTTCGGACTCCATCATTTTGGCTATTCAACCCTCTTGCCTTTTGGATACTTGACTTTATTCATGTTTGGGTACACCTTTTATGCTTCAGGCACATTCAAAAGGTAGAATATCCTATCCAAGAATTTAAATTCAATTAATATTAGTCATGAATGAAAGGTTAATGTGTTTGAAGAATCACGAATGAATTTCTCTCATAATTTATAGAAATTCAAAGAAATTCTGTGACCAAAGACTGAGAAAGGAATAACCGGAGGTGCAGCAATGAAATTATCTATCAAGAATCAACTAAAATGATACCAAAGCGTATATATTGATTAATTTTCTCAATTTAGCCTCAAACTAATTGCTTATATAAATCTTAAATCAAAGCAGGGAAGCTCTACGGCAACTCTAACAGAAAGCCCTCCAAAATCAGCTAAGTTGATGATATTTCCAGTAGTTTAACGAACTATGTCTATTAGGATTTAGTAGCTAATCAACTTAGTTGAAGCTGCAAGCCAATCAACTTGATTAACATTAATGAGATATCAAGGCTAGCTCTTTCCAGACCCCCTTAAAAAAAGTAATTAGCCAAAAGCTGTAGCCAAAAATCAATACAGAATCAGGAACTAAACATCTGAGGTTAATGCCAAACAGCACTCTGTAGCTAATCTGTGTCCAATCATCAGAAATCGACAGCTACAGAAATCAATAACTAATCGAATTTGCCGCCTCCCAAACTGTGACTCTCTCGCTGAACCTGTGATGAGAGATTTCGTAAGCATTCTGGAATGAAATACAGCTACCAATAATGTGCCAGTATGTCCTGCATTCTGCCCTCTGTCAGTGGCAGTGTCTTTCGAGGACAGACCTCGCTTAACCCATCGCATTCAATTAGTAAGTGAATACAGGACAAACCTGGAAACGCTTGTCCGAGGTGTAGGTGGCTGTGCCGACAGTGAGGATATGCAGATCACGTTTCCGTATCCAGGATACCTGTTGGCACAAGCAGATGGGTGAAAGAAATTTGATTAACGAGTGCACATTCACATGATATACTCGACGATGTCCTTGGCACGCATCTTCATCGGGTTATTTACCATCGCCCGCCTCCTGGGACCGCAGGGCCCTTGGAGGAGTGCCCGACCACTCGCTATCGTTCTCGCTCTCGCTCTCGCACTCACCGATTTATCATGGAGACTGTCCACGCGGCATTTAATTATGGCCTCGGTGTGGCCTGTGCGTCCGGTGATGTTGCGCGGCATGCCAAAGTCGAAAATTGGCAGGGACTGGGAAAGGTCCGAGTACAAGTCCGTATCCCGGTCGCGGTCCCGGTCGCGGTCCCGGTCCCCGTCTCTGTCTCTGTCCATCTCCGTTTCCGTTCCGAGCGCAAAGAGATCTGAGCCAAAGGACACGGGGCCGCTGCGCTGCTCGACGCCGTCGTCGGCCAGGAAGGCTAAACTCTTGAAAGTGTGATTCGTGGCATCCGTTTGCGGTGGCACCTCCGCCGCAGACGATGATGAGCCCAGTGATGATGGGGCTGATAGAAATGTGGCCAGGGTGGGGGGCATGGGCCCAAGCCCATCCACGGAGCCGCCGAGACTGAAGTCATCCGAGGAGCTGTTGTAAGGAGCTGTGGCCGCAGCGGCAAACAAGAGGCCTGTGAAAGAAGAAGGGAAATCAGAGTGAGAAAAGGAACACAGAGACACCAGAGGCAAATAGAGGAAAACGAAAGGGAGAATGGAGAATGGCAGAGACATCAGCCAAACGGTGAGTGTGTGCGGGCGGGGGGTAAAAGAAGAGCCCTTGGCTCCTGCTTCATGTTTTGCAAATGAATTTATAACTTGGCTTCCCCGTCAGCCGTGTCCCCGCTCCCCCTCTTGTCTTTGGGCCGTGCCATTCATCTTGTTGGGCATTTTGATTTGATTTGTTTCCACTTTGGCCACAACTTTCCACTCCGCAAAGTAACTTCCACTCGATTCTGTTTGGCTCTTTACACAGCTAAATGTAACCATATAAATTGTGCTGTGGCTTAAAGCCTCGTCGACCCAACCGGCCATTTGCATTTAATTTATTAGCGATTCGCCAGTTTTATCTGACGCTGCATATGTGCAAATATTTTTTGCATATCAATTCTACGCTGTCAATTTAAGTGAGAACCAAAAGCCCGAAAAGCCCGAAACCCCGAAACCCCAAGCCCCCAAACTCCAGTCCCAGTTCCAGTTTAATTCCCAATCCAAACCCCAATTTCAACGCAAAGTGACAAATTCAATTTGTGCACTGCAAAGAGTGCACACCAAAAAAATGTATAAAAAATGTAATGTGCAACAGCGTAAAAATAAAAGAAAAGGGCGGAAAAAATGGTGAAAATACTGAAATAAATAAAAAGAAATATTAAGCATACGGCATGTTGTCACGACAGCAACGACAACAAATATTTGCAAATATGCCAACTAAATATAAAGCGGAGCGAAAAAAAAAACGAAAGAATTACTTTTAAATTCAAATCAACAGGGAATTTGATGTTGACGAGCGGGTGCCGCAACGCGAGGGGGGTGGAGAAATGTGCACGCTGGGGAAAGGTACGGGGTGTATTGGTATCGAAATGAATTTGGCAGCTATCGAGGTGCTTCGAGGTTTTCTTGACAGGAATTTAGATTGGAATTTTGTATGGCATACTTCATGATTTCAATGGATCTACACTCAAAAAAGAAAACTTAGAGCGTTGTTAGAAGAGAAATTCCGAATAGCTTTAGAATTTATGAAAATATTGCATTCGAGGCCATATTTTATTTAGCAAAAATTCCATAAATCTTTTACATCTATATGTCAATTATTTTTGGACATTTTAAGTCTTCAAAGATTCCCATAATTTCAAAAATATACACCGAAAACAAAGCGTTACTTTCCACATCAACACTTCTTTCAGTATATTCCCTATGCTTGCCTTAAAAAGTATTCTGATCTGAACCTTCTCCATCAGCACCTCTTTCAAACTCTACCAATTCATTAGAAAAGAATTTAAGGTCTTTCATTTGATGAGTTTAAACCCTCATCAGCACAGCCTGTCAAGCTGCTTGGATTTCTACAAAGAAAAACTTCTCATCAGTATTTGGTTTTGTTTTGTTTTTTTCATAGAAGTTCGCTTGTGCATGAATATTCTAGAGCAATCTTGACAAAGAGTTTTCATTGTTAGTCAAATATTACCATTCGATTGCAACCCTAGAAATGATTTAATTATTTTTTTTGGAGGTGTGACTGTAAGCCCGAGGATTTTTCCCAGAAATTTGCGTACTCTCACCTCGACTTTATATAAATTATTTAAATCTTTTGTGGGGGCTCTGCCACAGCTTACATCCCTCCTGAGACGGCCCTGAATATACTGACATATTCCCATAAATTATGCATATCTCTGTGGGAGTAAAGTTTACTTTTCTCAACATTTCCTGCCTGTACCCACAAATCTTTCAGTCAATTCCAGGGGTTCATTGAGGTCGACAGATCCACATGCATATCCCTCGCTCTTCCAGGGTATACCCAACTTCTATATAGGCCTCTTGTGCTCCCTTGTTTTATGCTTGTTTGGGGGAGCTGCGAGCTGGCAAACAAAGTTTTTATTTTGTTGCGACCTACTTAAGGGTTCCGCTTCGGCACTCGCCGCCTCTGCTGATTTCCCATTCCATCATGGCATCATACCATCATCCTACAGATGGTGGTGGCGCCTCCATCCCTACCCCACCACCCCACACCCCCTAGATGGCTGGCTGTGACTCGTCTGGGGTTCACCACATGAGGTCATGGAAATGTTTTCCGTTTGTTGTTTTTTCTTTATGCGCTGCTGTAAAATAAAGTAGCAAATTTGTATTTTATTGTTTGTCGCTTGCCATTGGAAAGGCGAAAAAAAAAAAACATAAAGGGGGAACGAGAGGGCGAGGGCGTGCAACACACAGCAAAACAGCAAAGGCAACAAGAATAACAATATCTGCGTCTGGCAACACTGCGAATGAGTGATTTCCCCACCCTGCTGGAAAAGCATGCCATTTTCCACACAGCTGCTCAAAGGCGAAGCCAAAGCAGAAACAAAATGCTGCAGGGACATTCACAGACAGTTTTCATAGCAAAAAAACATCAGCAGCAACAGCAGCAGCAGCGGCAGCTACGAAAACGATTTTCCCTCATCATCATCAATAATTTCATCATCGCCAGTCGCCAAAACAACTTCAAAAAGTTTTTCCCTACAATTCAATAGAAGCAGAAGAAGCAGCAGCAAAGAAAAAAAGCCTGCAAAACGGCGAAACTTGCTAAACAAATTTAAGCAAATGAAAAAGCAGTAAAAATTCTGTGTGCTTGTGCGCGACTCGTTCGGCGACTGAGCCGCAATGCTTTTTTGAGTATTTCCTTTTTCCAAAAAACCAAATAAAAAAAACAAATATATTCTTTTTCATACACTTGCTGAGGGGTACAGCCATTTGTGGTGTTTGTGACACATGGAAGGAATCGTAGAAAGTTTTTGTGTTCTTTATTGATTAGCACTCAATGGCCGAGTGGCAGAATGTCTATTTGATTCGCTCAGATTTATTTTGTCAGCCCAAGAGCATTGCTGAAGGATACTTGTGACAGAGTTGACAGTTCTTATATAGACAGGCATACGCCTGTGCCTTTTAGGCACATTTTGAACAATATTTGGTTACTTTTCAAGCTTTAATGGTAAAGAAATTGTGGATGCTCCTCGTTCCGTTCTAGTATACAAAAATAACACACAAATCTGTGTAGACTTAGCCAATCTGTTCAAAGAATTAATGGATGTCCGGAGATTGCACTCTGCTATATAAAATATTCAGATTCAGATTTGCCACAATTTTCCAGCAAAATTTAAAATTTATATTTTCCATAGAGAATCTCACACAGTTTTCCGCCACTCCAAGGGTATCCAAAATTTCACCGCATTGATATAAGTTTTGCGGCATTTTTCGTGCCTATTTTTTGTGTGTTAAGTCCCTGGAACCTTGCCGCGTTACCGCGTTACCCCTACCCATCCCGTCCCGTCCCACGGACAGCCTCTAACTGATTTCGCAATGCCAAAGCCAAAGGCGGCCAAAGTTGGTCGCGGCTTTTTGTGTTTTTGGCCAATGTTTGCTGTAGGTCGCCGGTTGGAGCCCCATTCCCCATTGCCGGTCCCGTAGCCCCCCTACGCGCCACTTCACGCGCTCAACAGCTTCCGGCCTGGCGGAGCATGGAGCAGCCATGGGACATGCACACAGCTGTGTGACACACTCAAGTGGTGTGTGTGTGTGTGTATGTGTGTGTGTGAGCGAGTGTATCTTTGTATGGCATTCGTGCTGCGCCTGCAGCGAATCGTGTGCATTTGGCAAAGCACTTAAAATGACAAAAATAACAACAAAATAGACAACGAAACAAACAAAAGAGCGATGAGAGAGAGGTGCCTCCGAGTACACCAGCAGAGAGTGAGGGAATGCAGGCCAGACACGGCCCAACACCGAAAGAGATCTGTGGCAGAGATGTTCCTGAAAACCATTTGAACAGAAAGAGATTTCTGGAGCCAGGGCCAGAGCTTCTGTGTGTGGGGTGGCTCTTCTGCTTTTGTTGTCATGGATAAGATGCAAATTGATGGATGCGATGGGGCTTGTTAAGGAAATTAAAGAAAATGTTGCGCAACTTTTGATTGCAAGAGAAACAAGTTTCGTTCAATTTAAGTTTGAAATGGAGGCAGGGAAAGCCACAAGAAAGGAAACGGCCTGCGGGATGCAAAGCCTTAGATCGATGACTTGGTTTCGGCAGCTATCTGGTTGAAGTTGAATTTAATAACACAATAAAAATACATAAAAATATAATAGCTCAAAAAGCAAATCAAATAAATGCTGTGAAATTAATATTTACAGACATATCGTTCATACAACAATGATGAGGGCGATGCCCTTGCTTTGTTTTCATCAGTAAACACAAACACAGCGTTGCAGAAGCCATTCAAAATTCGTAATAAATCTCATATTACATTATTTAAATAACAAATGTGGCGAAAACAGTTTAACAAAGGCAGGCAGCAGTTATGCTCGCATTTAGCTTTAAACAAGGGGAGCGGAGCCCCTGACTCCTGTCTGAAGTCAGACACTTAAATACTGAGAGGCAAAGGTCAAGACAGCCCAAGGATAAGACCCAAGCCAATGGTCAGAAGCCGCTTAAAGGTATTCTGTGTAATGGCAACATTAAGCAATAAAGCTAAGCCCCTATTATAACCACAACAACAAGCACCAACAACCGGAACAACCGCAGACATTCTCATAGACTTCAAGAAGACAGTTAAGACTGAGATAAATTCATTTAAAATGTAGCTTTAGCTTTGAAGTATATTTTTGGGTTTAATCTTAAAGAATAGCTAACATGTAAATATTTTATTAATTTTGATTATATATTAAAATATAATTCCACTTCGATTTTGATAGATAAGTTTCTGTTCACCCTTTAATTCTCCTGCTAAGGTTAACCCTTTCAAGAACACCCCCTTCCATCTGCATCTGCAGGGCATACTGTGCTGACAGTCTGTTCTATTTAAAGACTCGTCGAGTCGCGCCACGAGCCAACAAAAATCCCGTCTAATGTCATGAGTGTGTGTGTGTGTGTGTGTGTGTGTGTGTGTGTGTG